GCGGTGGGCCAGGCTGGGTTCCGGGTCCTGGGCTGCTGGGAGGGAGCCCAGTCAAGTGGGAATGGTGGAGGCGTCGGCTCCCAGGAGGCAGAGAACATAATTTCCGTGTGGTTTTTTGACACCACGTTAAACTTCGGTTGGTTTTTGCAGTAATTCATTTTTTCTTGATACCAGCGCTAGCTGGCTGGTGCATCCGAAACGCTTAAGCTTATACTTAGTTATCACAGAGCGAGCGGGTTTTTATCTGAATAAATTCTGCATCGTTTTGAGGGTTTACCGTGTCAGCGACGAAAGGCAGCACGATAAAATACGTAGTCTAAAACTGGTAGTACATTTTGAGTAACGTACAGTGATTTAAAAACTTTTTACTCTCATCGTCTCGCTAAGGTTATATAATACAGGGGTTTGGTATTTAAAAAAAAGAAGGTTGTAGGCTGAATTTTTTATTTTAAAGAATCTTCTTTTTGGGTCAAGGAAAAATGTTACTGAAGTAGGGACCGTACGTTTCACCGGAGCAGTCGTATTTAACTAAGAGAGTATATAAAACAGTAACTTGCTCAGACGAGCATCGTGTTGTCAATCTCCGTGTTCGCTTCCTCCGCTCATGTTTACTTGCTGGCTGACTCACTGGACGACGTGTGCCTTGAAGTTGTTATGACACATTATCCTTCTGCGTGTGTTATAATAGCTGTCTGCAACACAGGGTGGCCAGGGGAGATCACGGCTGAGCGAGCAGCCGCAGCAACAACGGGGAGAGCTGCCACCTCCGACTGGAATGAGGCTGTGAGGGAACAGAAATTGCCACTCTGTATCTGCATAAGTAACTGAGCTGCGGAGGTTCAGATTACTCCTCTCTCTTCGCCGAGACCTTTTCTTTTCCATGCTACAAAAAAGCTGGTGCTTAGTTGGTAAAAGTAGTACTAACGTAGGCGTTACTGCTGTATGACTAGGTGGAGTCAGTGCTCCGTATATGTGTGTTCTTGTTACAGGAGCTGTTATCGTTTGCTGGGTTTGGGTAGTTACCGTCGTAATGGATTCTTAGAGCTTCAGGAAGATACAGAATCACAGAACGGTTGAGGTTGGCAGGGACCCCTGCAGGTCCGGCCCCCCCTGCTCAAGGAGGGCCACCCCGAGCCGGTTGCCCAGGACCATGTGCAGATAGCTTTTGAGTATCTCCGAGGAGGGAGACTCCTGGGCAGCCTGTCCCAGTGCTCAGTCACCCTCACAGCAAAGAAGCGTTTCCTTATGCTCAGACAGCACCTCCTGCGTTTCAGTGTGTGCCCGTGGCCTCTGGTCCTGTCGCTGGGCACCACTGAGAAGAGCCTGGCTCTGTCCCCTTTGTACCCACACTTCAGGTATTTATATACATTGATGAGATCCCTCCTGAGCCTTTTCTTCTCTCGGCTGAACAGTCCCAGCTCTCTCAGCCTTTCCTTACAGGGGAGATGCTCCAGTCCCTTCATCATCTTAGTGGCCCTTCACTGGATTCTCTTCAGCACATCAGCATCTTTCTTGTAGTGGGGGGCCCAGCGCTGGACACAGGACTCCAGCTGTGGCCTCGCCAGTGCTGGGTAGAGGGAAGGATCAGCTCCCTCGACCTGCAGCCCAGGATACCGTTAGCCCCTTTGCCACAAGGGCACACGGCTGGCTGATGTCCATCCTGGTGTCTACCGGGACCTCTAGGGCCTTTTCTGCAAAGCTGTACTGGCACGTGGGCTTGTTCCTCCCCACAGGCAGGGCTTTGCACTTCCCCTCGTTGAAGTTCGTGAGGTTCCTGTCGGGCCCTTTCTCCAGCCTGTCGAGGTCCCTCTGGTGTGTCAGCCACTCATCCCAGTTCGGTGTCATCGGCAAACTTGTTGAAGGTACACTCTGCCGCGTCATCCAGATCATTAATGAGGATGTTAAACAGGACTGGACGCAGCATTGACCCCCGGGTACACCGCTGGTTACTGACCTCCAGCTAGACTTTGTGCCACTGATCACCGCGCTCTGGGCCCAGCCGTTCAGCCGCTTTTCGGTCCACCTCACTGACTGATCATCCAGCCTATGCTCCATCACCTTCTCTATGAGGGTCTTGTGGGAGACGGTGTCAAAAGCCTTACTGACGTCCAGGTAGAAAATATCCACTGCTCTCCCCTCGTCTACCAAACCGGTCTCGTAGAAAGTTGTCAAGTGTGACAACCTTGTAACTTAAAAAGAAGACTGAGAAGATGATCTCATCACAACCCATACAGCATGGCCAAAGGCTCTCGCAGTAATGGCGTCCACACCAAATGGCCCTGTTTTTCCAGAAGTAGTCGAGTCAAAAGCATTAAGTGAAGCAGGCTAATCAGCCAGGTAAACTTCAACAAATACTGAGCTTGAGGTAGTCTGGTGTAGAACTGAGACTTGCTACTGTCAGTGGTTTCTGCTCAGCAAAAGCAAAGCCCATGCTAAGGAAGCAAACCTTTATCGAGTACATTTTTAGTGGAAGCATGGCTGGGGTAGGATGTGTACGTGATTGCAGAACTGTAAGGCACTGAAGAGCATCAAATTTAGAAAGATTTGAGACTCTTTGTAGCTAGATTAAATGATGGCCAGGGTAGATTTAAAAAAAAAAAATCAGCCAGTTTTTGTCAATTCCTTTTTTTATTTAAAACAAGGCTTACTATTTGCTGTTTGTACTCTTATTTGCATTTGTACTTGTTCAAGAGCTGATACCAGAAAATTCTAATGGCTATTTGCAATCGAAATACCATGTTCTGGTAGGATTGTGTAACTCTTGCTGGGATCTAGACATCAAAAAATTTTGTTTAGCTTAAAACTTTATCTTGTTTTAAGAAAAATCTGTTGGTTCGGGGGTTTTTTAAGTATATATGTAACATCAAGTCCCAAAGTTGGAAATAGCAGTTGTAGGAAGTCGACTGTTTCTAATGGTGGTGTTCCTTCTCGCCTTTCACCTCTTCTGGAATTATTCTGGTAATGCACTAAGACAAATAGAAGAGTCTGTCTAAACTGTAATGGATGTGCAAGACACTATTGACACCAAATTTTACTTGAAATTGCTAATTCACCTATGCAGTTGTACAAGAGACTGTTCCATTCTTGGGTATCATAAAGCTGAATCAACTTTCAAAAATGTTCTACTAGAATGACCTCAGCTTTGTGTGCTCGGTGTGCTATTTTGAGTTTATTTTCATGTATTATGATGCTGCTGGGCAACTGATGTTTTTAACAAGGCATTGGTCCTTATTTTCATGTCTTTTTTTCTGCTTGTAGCAGTACATGGTAACTCTGTCACCTTCTGGCCATCCCAATAATGAAAACAGAAGCTAAGGATGGAGAAGAGGAAAGCCTGCAGACAGCATTCAAAAAGCTAAGAGTTGACACAGCTGGGTAAGTAACACCACAGGGAGGTACAGAGTTAATGTACTACAAATGGACTCGAAGGGAACACCCTTGCTGTTAAATTTGAAGGAATGAGGTAATTGCAAAGGGTTAGAGACTGAAAGCCTTCATTCTAGTTAAACAAACTGAAATAAATTCACTAGCTGCAGACAGCACTTCTCAAGGAATCGTCATTTGTTTGATCGCTGTTAGCTCCCAACAGGCTTGAAGCAAACAAGTCAGCACTTGACAACATGCTTGAAACGAATTTGGCATGAATCTGTCTGGCCAGAGGTTCTGTCTGTAGCACTAGAACTCTACTTTTGAAGTTAGCATATTGTCATGGCTCTGAAGGCCTGTCATGAGAATAAACTCC